TCCAATATAAATTGCAGCTGGTCCAAAATTAAAAATTATAAATGAAGGGGCTGAAGGGGCAGCGCATAATACGTTCGCAAAACCATCATTCCGTGTCATGTAGTATCTCGTCGCCCTCTCGTGGAGGAAAATCGCCGTTTCGAAAAATCGACGGAAAAAACGGATTTTTTGGTGAGAATAGCTGCTTTTTTTTTTACTAAAGAAAGGGATGGTGATAATTATCACTAGGTCGACAACAACAATCTTGAAGTGACCTACTGGGCCCTTCGACCAGCTTAACCCTTTCTCCAAACCTTTTCTAGCTTTTTTTGACATTTACGCGCAGTCGCACCGTATTTTCACTCGATAAACATTCATTTTTGGCAATTCCACAGCTCTACGCTCCCCACAAGTTCATTTATTAATTAATCGATTGAAAAACGAGTGACACCCGGGGTAGATAGGATTTTTTTCGACTTGTCAACGAGTTTTTGGGATTTTCTAGTGATTGACAAGTAAATATCCCGGAGAAATGGATTTTCGAGCCCCCGTGGGTCTGTGAGCTCTGACGTAGAGACTAATAGATGATAAACAATTGATAATAAGTGGTGCCAACAATAGTCGTCGCGGTGAAGGTAAAAATAAGAAAAGTTCTCGATGAAATGTCGGAAAAATCACGTAAACTCATAACGAGGTTTCATCCGAGCCATGGGACCAATATTATTCTTTACGATGATAATACCGTGGCATATCGCAAAGCGAGTTTTGCTGATGCTCTGACATTTAGTGAAAAACCTCTTCAACCCGGGGAGATTTTTCTACTGGAGATTGAGAAACATGAGAGGGGGTGGAGTGGACACATGAGGTTAGGACTAACTCAGATTGATCCCAAGACTGTTGACAGGAATGGCATTCCTCAGTATGCCCTGCCCAATATGGTTAAAATGGGACAGAGCTGGATTTTTGCCATTACCAGCTGTCCCTGTGTTAATATTGAGGGGATCACACGATATGGTAATTATTCAATTAATTCTTTTCTTGTAATTAGGGCTCCAATTGATTGAATTCACTTTTTTTTTTCTTGTGTCAAAATCCCCACTTCGTTATCGGCGATTTAATTTTTTAATCATTTTCAAAGGTGAAAGTATACTTCTCCAAGAAAGAAAACTAAAGACCGATGGCATAACAGTGCAGACATCGAGGGGATTGATCCCCTACACTGCCTTGACCCCCAATCTAGCCCAGAACGACAGCTCCCACGATATTCTACCTACAGAGACTGGAAGCAGAATTGGAGTGATGTATGTACCTCAAGTGGGGACAGATCTCGCTGAAATGCATTTTATTATTAATGGAGTGGACCAGGGGGTCTGTGGCAAGGACATTCCATACAGGGAGGGACCTCTCCATGCTGTCGTCGATGTCTACGGAACTACCAAGCAAGTCAGGATTGTCCAGCTCTACGGTGGTAATTATTTGATATTTTCATTTATCTCCTTACATCGATATCTCCGAAACTGGGGTCGATAGCGAAATTTTGGTGGTACAATTTTTGTTGTTCTTGATTAGCTCTAGAAAAAAGGCTCTAATCAAAATTGTGATAGCTCCTCTTATTTTGGGAATATTTTTAAAAAACTGATCTGCACGGTGAAATTGACTCGTTTGAGTAATGGATATGAAGATGAAAAATTTTGGTATTTCCTTGCAGTGTCGACGCTACAAAGTGCCTGTCGCGACGCAATCCTCCAGTACACAAAACTGAACGCAGTTGATGCATTGCCATTACCCCAGATGCTGAAGGATTTCCTTCTGTACCAAAATCAAGAGTCACAGTGATCGACCTAACGAGAGAGAAAATAGAAAAGAAAGGAATTTTTGTGAGAGCTAAGCATGATCAAATCAGGCAGGTCCTAATCGCGTTATTCTTTATTTTCTATTGTCGCATTTCTTTCTTCTTGTTATTGATATTATTATTTGATATTTCTTTTTTTTTCCCCCAAATTGAACGATCTCGAATTGGTCAGGACACGTGGATGTCGCCATGGGATTTTACACTGAGTAGATCAGCCGTTCCAGTGAATTATTTTTCTGAATTTTCGATGATTGGAAGAGCGCAATCATTCTAAATAAAGGCCATTAAAAAAATCGATTGGTGATACCTCCATAGGAGTCGATTTTTCTCACTCGTTTATTTGAGATCACTTGAGTCAAGCGAATTCATCGAAATTGTTTTCTTCTCAGTGTAATCAACTGTTTACTGTTGGTGGAGTGTTGTAGTATGACGAAAGTATGATGAAAGATACGTAAAAGTAGCTGAAGCTGTGCATTTTATAAAATAAAGTCTCTTTTCTAAAAAATTAGAGAATTACTTCACTCATTAATTCAGAAAAAAAAAACAAACAAATGAATTTAATTACAAGTTTTATTTTCACTGTCCATGTAAATATGAAAATTTTATCAAAGCAAAATAACACACATGACGATATAAATAAAAGCAAAAGTTATAAAAAAAATCCAGCTAAGGACAGTCACCACTCCTTCCCAATCCGCTGTTTTGTGATCCGAATCCACTAAACTATTGCTGTCTTCATCATCTCGGAGACGAGCAGCTGCTTTGGGCTCTGTGAGAGTCATCGAGCAAAATTTTCCTGGTGTGGTGATGAGAATTGCTGCGACTGGTCCAGCCACCCACGTTGGCACTTCACGTTTAGTATTGACAAGTTTTTGAAGCCAACAACTCACCACTAACGCGATTGTCGCGAAAATCATGGAGTTGTTGTAAAAAATCACTGAAAACACCAACCGACAGATTCCTGATTCGTGATTGAATCCTGGCTAATTCAATCCAAACAATTTCTCAAAAAACCGCCAGCCAAAATTATCTCAAATAATTTAATCCTGGAAAATATTCATTCCCATGAATATTTTTATTAATTAATACATCAACATTAAATTAATGATGGACTTTCACAAAGAATTCAAAATAATTTTTCAATCGGTGATTTCGTATTTCACAGAAAAATTATCGTTATTTAAAAAATAGATAATTATATAATCGTTAAAAAATCGCAGGATATCATCCAGGATTAATTATTCGGGAATAACTTTGACCAGAATTTTAAGACGTCGTGTCGAATTGAATAAAATTGAAGTGAAATTATCGTTGATGATAACTCACAGATATTTGGAACGGTCGTTCCAGTGTCTGGAATATTGAAGTTAACGTTTCGAATGGTTATCAAGTGGCCGATAATATTGAGACATGACAAAACCAGACGTTCCGTGGTGCCTGGTGTCAACCAGAGAATAGTCAGTGTCACAACAGCCAGAACTACAAATAAAACAACTCAATAACGAAATAAAAAAAAGTGGGATAAGTCAAATTAAAATTTTTCTCAATAACCGATTTATCTCACTTTATCACTTCATTCCTAATTTAATAATCGAATCAAATAAAGAATCTTTAAACATAATACCGTCTATCTAATTAATTGAGTGTCAATACTGACGATTCATTGAGTTAACTCAATGAAATTGAATTGAATAAAGGGAATTACTTATGATTGGAGAGACAACGACACTTTTCAGTGACGTGTACGGCCTATCCAGGAGAAATGACACCCCAATACTCTCGAAGGTATCCCCTCTGGATATTTTAGATCGAATTCTACTGTGTCTGACACTCCCGATGGAAATTCTCCACTGCGGGTGGCTATTGTAATGCCTTATGAAAATTCCAGATTTTCCCTTTCCCGCCAGTACTTCATTGCTGGTGTACGTCGGTGCACCGATTTTTATCGTGCACTTGTGGGTATCATACGGCCAGTGAGTGTAATTAGATTCACATGGGGCTGTGAAAACTCTCGTCGGTCTACAGCTGATTTTTCCGTCGTTCGTTAAGACACAGGAAGAGTCGGGAATTCCTGAGAATTCGTCGTCTTTTCTGTTTTTCAAATAATATCAATTCACTGACGTCATTAAATTGATAAATATTCATGTTTAAAAAATGAGAGTTGATCCGAAAAAATGATAAATGATTGATTTGCTTATTCATGCTCACGGATTCAGGGAATAAATCTCTGGCTTCCATATTTGACTCATCTTCACGTGAATTGATTCAATTCCATCGAAATCACTTGGTCTCCAATTTAAAAATGAGTCAGTCCAGACCTGACAATAGAAACCATTAATTATTTTCCACCGTACGACCGGAGAACCGGCAAAATGAAGGCTTCAGCCTGTTCTATGAATATTCATAACTGAAATTCGAAAATAAATTCTAATTTCCATTTTGCCACTTTACTCACAATATGCACTCGAGTGTGTAACTCCAATTCGGCCTTTTCCTCGTGCTGGCAAGAATAAGATGAATAGAATAAAAATGAATTCAGTAACCAAATACTAAATCAAGGTCCTGTGATATTTTTTATAAAATCTCTAGTTTTTGGGATCAATCGGTAATTGATGCAACGAGAAATTCCTTACGTAATCTGCAAATACCAGTCGCAGAATCATCTTGAATTCAGT